CCAACACAGGTATGAACCACCAACACAAGTATAAACCACCAACACAGGTATGAACCACCAGCACAGGTATGAACAACCAGCACAGGTATGAACCACCAACACAGGTATGAACAACCAGCACAGGTATAAACCACCAACACAGGTATAAACCACCAACACAGGTATGAACCACCAGCACAGGTATGAACAACCAGCACAGGTATGAACCACCAACACAGGTATGAACAACCAACACAGGTATGAACCACCAACACAGGTATGAACAGCACAGATGAGTCTAACACAGGCTCATGGTGCATTTGAATTTGAAGTTCTTCAGAGTTTCACGGTTCCACGTGTAGCGCGATCACAGCAGATGTTTGACAGCTGGAGCTTGTGAACAATCCAAACAAAGGAAAAGGACTTCTCGATGCAATTACTTGTGTCATAGCATGTAATTACTTAACGGCCCATAGGCACCGCAATCATACACACATGCTCATTCACAACATTAATCTTCATGAATATCAGTTTGCCTAATTAGAAAATCATAACAAGTAGCATTCATTGTGCATTGTTATTCTCAATGGGCTGCAGCTAGTCACGGAATACAGTCACCCACAATGTATAGATCAGAAGGACTTGTTTGGTCCGTGATATTTTTAACAGGTCCAAAAGTCTATTTTGCATCTGTGTTCTTTATATATTGATAAGTATATTATAATGTTACATGTTATAATGTTGTGTTTTGTCTTGTGGAACAAATGATCATCCGTACATTCACCCTCATTTACAACACAGAACCTGCATATTTAGGCTGTGTACTTACTCCTCAGGGCACCAGCAGATAGTTGATATCAAACTATTGATGCAAGGAACGTCTGCCTGTGTGTCATCCTGTTTGTTTGTCTGTTCCACACATAACTCTCAAACCACTTACCCGACTGATCTCAAATTTGGAGGGTCTCATCCTAATGGTCTGGGTGTGTGCAGTCCTTTATGGTGTTAGGGCGACAAATGCTAAAAACCTGGTAAAATGACAGATACATTTCAAATACAAACATCTTTTGAAACCACGGGTCACATGACATGGGTCAGGGCGAGTCATTTTGGCTACATTCACACTGCAGCCTGAAGTGACCCAAATCTGATTTTTTGGACCCTATGTTCCTGTATCTGATCTTTTAATGACAGTCTGAACGACACAGATCCGATTTTTTCAAATGTGACCCAGGACACTTGGATATGTGCTCCTAAAATCCATACATCTTTTGACATGTGATTTCAGTCTGAACGGCCATGGCGCATTCATCCACCTACACGTTATCAACAAGCCACAAATGTACACAAACGTTTCGTCATACGGAAATTGTTAATGAACTCCGTGTCACTGAAGTGAAGCACATCACTCTCCCACCACTCTTGACTACGTCTCCACATTCACACGTTCTTTCAACGGACGTCGCTGCCACTGCTCCACAAAACTCCACGGCCAAAAACCTCGTCCTTCTCCTTCTCAATCTCCTCCTTAAAACAAGTAAGTTGTTCATGTTCTGGCTCCGGTACGAGAGGAACTTTAAAATCTCCAGGTGCTCAATGCTGCGTCCATGTTTGGACAACTTCCGTAAACACAGAGCACGCTCGCTGTGGTTGACGTCATCGTGTCTCCAGTGCGCATGTGGGACACTTTTGGGCCATTTAATGTTCACACTGGAGATCACATACAAGTCACATTTAATTGGAAATGTGAATGACCTCGCAAAAACATCGGATTTCACACAAAAAAAATCCAAACTAAGCATTAAGCCCTGCAGTCTGAACATAGCCTTTGATAACTTCAGAAGTTGTCACTGGCTCCACTTGGAATCTATTCTTGGAATCTAGAGTATTGAAGAGTCAAGTTCAGCTGAGGCTAAAAAATAGTTGCTAATCTCAGGCGTACCACTAACTGACATCACAATGTGAAATGGAGAATTTTGAGCTTTGGGGATGGAGACATATAATGATAATACACATAATAATGTGAATAATACTTGAAACAAAATACAACTCCATGTATGTTTTTATTGAGCCAACAGCATTCTAACATGGCTTAAAGTTTATGTGAGTCAGTTTGACTAAATATTGAAACCAGGGGTGGTCAGAAGATCAGGTAAGAAGGCCTTTCCTCAGTGCAGAAAATACAAGTAAAAACCTTTCACAAAGTCTCAGTGTGCGGTTAGAGAACAAGCAAGCAGCCGTTAAACACCTCACGCTTGTTCCATCATGTTGCAGAATGTGTCATGCAAAACCAGTAGAGACAGTAGATTTCAATTTGGAAATGTCAAACACATAATGAATTCACAATAAACAGCGGGCTGGAGTTTGGTCTGGGCTCACACATGTTTTATAGAAAGCAGACTTTTGGACATTTGGGAACAATACAAACACACAAGTCAGCTTTGCACTAGGCTCATTTCATTCTACAGTAAATGAAAATGTCCACGGAGACAAACAGTTTACACCACCAGGCCAAGTTACAGGTCAGATCTGGGGAAAGGCAACTCACTTACAGTAAGAATGCATGTTTTTTATGGTATGTCAATCATTATATCTCTGCACAGTTTTTCCTTACAACCTCTTGTATGTATTTATTTATTTTTATTTGTACATATACATCACTTCTTTGCTAAGTTTCTTACTTATTTTGAATGTATTAATACCATTATATATTGTTTTTCTTTTAGTTATTATGATATATTGTGATGTCTGAGCTAATTTCCCTTGTGGATCAATAAAGTTTGTCTAAGTATTTTAGCAACACATGTAATACGTAATTTAATTCATGCAAGATGGATTCCATATTGTGGAACATGCTACAGGCAAAGAAATTGTAAGAAAATACAGGGGATTTTTTGGAAGGTTTGCTACTTGCTTGTCTCCATGGAGAGTTGTACCTGAATGTGCCGCAGTATGGCATTAAAGAAGGCCTATTTTGCTTGAGTCTGTTATGTCATTTATACCAAAATGACTAAGTCACACTGCCGAATCCTATGTCTATCATTAATTAAGACAATAATACTGGAGAACAAAGACAGTACAGAGCAGTGGGTTTGCACCAGTGACGGTGAAAACAGGAGTTGATCAGCAATATTGTGTCTTAAAAATAAACTATTGCAGATTGCACAAACATGCCCGAGCTGCTCCAAATGACAACTCTGAGATGGTAAATGAGAAGGAAACAACTATAACATGGTTAAAAACTTGGAAAAGTCGATTGTGAGTAGGTCTACTTTAAGGGGAGACACTACAAAACTGTCCACTCTGCACTGAAATCTATGTTTTATTATTTCATTTAATCAACTCAGAGTCACAGAGTTAGGCCAGTTTTTAGTCAGATCCAGTGACTGTACATTTTTTGTATCTAATATGTCAACAACCTGAGAAAAGGAATTCAATCGTAGCTCTTTCCATGTTATTGATTCATATGTCCCAAAAATGTGTCAATTTTGGCTGTTTTTACACATAAAATTTTTATATAAAAATATTACCTGATGAAAGACGTGTAATACATTTTTGTAAACAAACCATAGAAGTTTCAAGTGGATATCTCTAAATGCAGTGGTGGGTGTCAGGACCTTTAAGACTTTCTCTGTTGGCCTTAAAAAATCTCTGAATCACAGACTGATGTTAATTATATTATTATTGAATAATTCCAAATGTTCTGTCCTCTTCCTTTCAGAGCTTTTCTGATGCTTGTGCTGCTTCCACACAGGGATTTTCATATTAAGGCATTTGACCAACCACATTTCAGCCGCCACTTGTTACTAGGCAGAGTCAAAGTCAAAGAAGTGTCCCTGAGGACTTCGCAATCTGTTCTGCAGGAACTCGAACTCAAAAGAAACGTCCATGAAACTGCTGCTTCAACCAATCAGATTTTGAGTTGGTGTCACCAGGACCTTTAGCAGTGAACGACGTCACTGGATTCAGAGCCGCTGATTGGACAGTCAGAGAGCGAACCAGCCAAAACAGCAAACTGCATCTGTAGCAGAACCAGGACTGAACCAGGACTGAACCAGGACTAAACCAGGACTAAACCAGGACTAAAGCAGAATTAGAGAGAGAGAGAGAGAGAGAGAGAGAGAGAGAGAGAGAGAGAGAGAGAGAGAGAGAGAGAGAGAGAGAGAGAGAGAGAGAGAGAGTGAGTTAGAGAGTTTATCACTTTGCCTGGAATGTTCCACAGTATCATATTCAACTTGTATATCTGCATTTATTCATTTATTATTTTTTATTTATTTGTTTTTTATTGAGAGATGTTTTTCTCTCTTTTTTTTTCTTTTAGGTGGCCATACCAGTTTGTAAAACTATGATCTCATCACATTGTAGAAGCTAAACACGACTGGGCCTGGGCGACTGCTATTGTTGTGTCTTTAGGCAAGACACCACACCCACATTGCCTAGAATGAATGTGGTGTGTGAGTCAGTGTGTCGGACTGCAGACTGGCAGCCTCACTTTTGTTAGTCTGCCCCAGGGCAGCTGTGGCTACAGTAATGCTCTGTAAAGCACTGTAGGAGTCACTATATAAATTAAATGGTTAATAAACACTTCTGAATAAATAAATAAAACGTGCATTCTTCTGTGAGCACGGTCACCTCCACAGATCCACTTATCATCAGTGATACAGAGTGTTTGGCTTGTCATTTTTAGTGGACAGTTGGTGCTGCCGGTTAAAAAGCAAATATTGGTCATAATGATATGACTGACTGCAAATGTGGCATATTTTTTTTAGCAATAACAAATGGTTAAATAAAGTGAGTTTTTTAATCCCTCTGTGATACAGTCCAGGCTAAGCAGGTACATTACCATGGAGCCCTCCAGCAGAAAAGTTACATAGTAGACCTTTAACATTGTCTTGGATAAAATCAGTTCATATCCAAACCGAACCAGCTTGTAGTCCAAACCAACATCCCACAGCAGAATCACCATGCACAGATCTGCCCCCTCAGCACGTTCATGGAAACCTCTTCACATCAGCTCTTACCTGTGACTGCACTGCTCACACCTGCTCCTCCAGCTCACCACGATGTTCACTGCTGTGGGCTCCATCCACGTGTGTCCTCCTTTAGAAGCTCCTGTCCAGCCCCAGTGTCTCAGCGCAGAGGAGACCCTGTCTTCTGCCTCCGCTCAGGGTGTCAGAGGGTGTTAGAGGAGATGCAAATGCCGCCTGGAGGTCAGTTTGCATGAGGCTGATCACTTCCTTCCTGCAGTGACAGAGCTGGGACAGAGCAGGCCTGTGGACAGAGATAACAGAGGAGCATAACCACTGCTTATTTTAACAAGCTACTTTCATTTGGTTTAAGTCAGGACATACACACCAGATCTAAAACAGAAATCATCCAGAACTAAGAATCAAGCCTGGACTAGGCCAACAAAGATTAAACCAGGGCCAGAACAAACCAAGTCAACACCAGGGCCAAAGTGGGATCCAACCAGTACCACACACAAGTGTAATATTTGGACATGAAACTCAAAATCTAGGTCTAGCCGACTATGCATAGTGTTTAAAATAATAATAATAATAATAATAATAATAATAATAATAATAATAATAATAATAATAATAATATTCATCATCATCATCATCATCATATGTTAAATTATATTCATGATAATAATAGTGTTTCAAAATTGTATTATAATAATATTTTACTCATAAAACGGGAGTATTTGACTTCTGGGGGTATTGCCTAACTGTCTAAAACGACATATTAACAAGTACGTTTCACTATCACAACACAATGTGCATCCTGCTAATGAAACACAGCAAATTGCATTAGGTTTGTGAAGTTGTAGTGTATTGTTTTATATAATGTTTTTGTATAAGTTGGAGATTGTCGTGTGGGAGCAAGGGTGATGTAGGCTTGTGGGCGGAGCATTGGATACAATCGCACTGCTAACTGTGAGGAAGATCTGAATAGGGCCCTGGAGAGATCGCTAGATTACTCAAACATGCTTGGAAGACATCTAAAACCTCTTCAGGCATGTTTTTGATGAGGGAACAAAGCTCCAAAAAGTCAATTTTGCATAATAGCCACTCAACTATAATTATATTTGACTCATTAACAGGCCTTTGCCCTCATGGACAAAGCCTTTGTTCTGTTCCTCAGATCTAGTTGGATCTAGTCTCTACTTGTCCCTCTGATTCATGTTTTGTTAGTTTTTCATGGTCAGCCAAATATCTGCTAATATAATGCAATGTATTATCATAGTTATTTTGACAGTACAATTGAAAGTCTGTTACTCATTTATTCTTTTAAACAATAAAATAAATAAAATAAGTCTTTGTCTGTGTTGTCTTACGTTTTGATAAAAAAAAATAAGCTCCACAGTGACATACAGTCCGGAGTTGCTCTGGCAGTCACTCAAGATAAGCACAGTGAAAATGTAAACTACCTGACTTTTACAGGCCTTATTTACATAATGACATCATTTCATCTGCAGTGTGAGCTCAGTCATACACAGGCAAATGCCTTTTACTCTGGGATGTGTCTTTAAAGCTACCATCTCTAATTAGACTGTCAACACACCCTGTTATATTCTAACATATCTCCACTAGATCTACATGTCTGTGGTCGACTGCACTTTCTCATTCTACTTCCTGGTTGGCAGCAGAGGTGACGTATGTCGAGCTGCACAATGCTCAGCTTTCATTTACACAGTAGTTATGATACGGCGAGTAAATGACCAGGGTGTGCACAAATATTGAAATATCACTATATCGTATTGTTTAATGTGATGATACAGTATCGATATAAGGGGCTGCTGTGTCGATATATCGGCAAGAGTATTTTTTTTTTTGGTAAATTTTACAAAATTATTCTGATACAGCGCTTAAGTTTTGTTGCTTCTCGTTTATGTGTCACATTTGACATTTTCACTGTTTTGAGGATTAAAATGTTTGTGTCTCATTTGAACTTTGCACAAGAAGTGGTTTAACAAAGAGTGTCACAGCTATTATTTTTTTATTGACTGTATTGATCAATTTTAAATATATCGTATCGAATCAAAAGCTCACTGTATCAAGATATGTATCGTATCATGGCCTATGCATTGAGGTATGTATCGTATCGGCTACTTCTTAATGATACCGAGCCCTATACACTACAGGTCAAAAGCTTTAGAACACCCTATTTTTTTCCAGTTATTTATTGCAGTTTAGGCCATGCAAGTCCAATGAAGAGCTGGAAATGGTTCAAAGTAGGGCCCGACCGATATGGATTTTGTTGTGGCCGATATGAAACCGATAAAATGGGAGTTGGAGCTGCCAATATATTTAGTGATGTAAAAATTCACTGTAAATCTTGAATTGTTTAAAAAACTTAGGTTTGGCTCTAGTGGATTTTAAATTGGGTTTATTTAGGCAACATTTATTGTTATTCTGCCTCTTTACGTCATATTTACAGAGAGAAGGTCAGACTAATGGCATTTTTGCATCACATTCTAGCTACTACTGATGGGTATTCCAGTTCTTTTTAGAGAACCGGCTCTTTTGACTCGGCTCACTAAAAGCAGACGGTTCTTTCGGCTCCCAAGCGGCTCTTCAGATTGTTTTGTTGCAAGCAGGACTAAAGCAGGTGTAAACCAGGACTAAACCTAGAACTGAACCAGGACTGAGTGCCGGGACTCGGTCTCTATGTCTCTCTGTCTCTCGAGCCCAAGATTAGTTCTGGTTTATTTATTTTATGCTGAACTACAGCCAAACACGCACATTTTTCTATCCTATGCACACGCAGATTTCTGAAAGTTTCGTTTTCAGCCACTGCCGCCGTCAAACTCCCACAAGTCTGCACGCGGCGTGAAGAGAAAAAAAGGGAGAGAAAGAGAAAACACGGCTCCCACTAAGGAGCAGGCTCCTGTCGTTCTCTTCAAAGAGCCGACTCTAAGAGCCGTTTCGTTCGCGACCAACCCATCACTACTAGCTAGTAAAGAAAGTACCGCTATTAGCCTTTAGCTAATGCTGCACACCGCAGTAATTAATTATATGCACAAATGTCATAATTCCCACGTCTATTCACAGCTCATTTACATATCAATGCAAGTCCAGTAACAAATATACGGCCAATACAGTCACTTTACAATAGACCAACAGAAAACAGCCTGTTTATGTGTGGGAGCTACAGCAGCTAATCGCTAAGTTAGCAATGCTAACCAAAACTAGCTTCAAAGTCGACATATTTCCAACACTCAGCGCTCACACAGGCTCCTCCTCAAATCACAAGTCTGCACTAATAAATGTCCTTTTAATCCAGACTCAAACCGATTGTCCATAAAAAGAAAATAATCTCAGAGCTGCACATGGATCTGTGTCTGCGAGTATAAACAAACACACGTGAGTGACGTGACGGGAGTGACGTGACGGGAGTGACGTGACGTGAGTGACGTGTGTTCAGGGACAGTACGGACACACACACAGACAAATGACTCCACAGATAAATACTGATGTGGAACCACATATTAGGACATTTATCTGTCTGTAAATTGGATTAAATGAACATAATGTAGAGAGTCTAAGATTTATAACCACTATAACATGCCCACGTGAAATATCAGCCCCTATCAGCAAACATATCGGCCGATAGCCAATATGTCTCCAGGTGCCCATATTGGCGGATAACATCGGCCAACCGATAATATCGGCCAACTGATATATCGGTTGGGCTCTAGTTCAAAGGTAAGACCTGAACAGCCAGAGGTTAAAAAAAAAAAAAAGGTAAAAGATACAAAACACAAGTCCAAGCTCTGCCAAAACTACCTCAGGAAAAAGAACAAGATGATGAGCTTGAAAACCTGGAGTGTCCAGCAGCTCAGTGTCCAGACTTAAACCCCATGGAGCTGGTTTGAGATGAACTGGACAGAAGAGTGAAGTAACCTACAAGTGCCACACATTTATGGAACTTCTGCAACAGACTTGGGAAGACCTTTCTGAAAAATATTTGATTTCTAAAAAAAGAATGCCACGAGTGTGTTCAGCTGTTATTTCTGCCAAAGGTGGACATTTTCATGAATCATAAGTTTAGAATACGTTTTGGTCAACAGTAAACAGTAACATGGAAAAAGCATGGTGTCAGTAGTGTAAATTGTCCCAAATTTTTTGATGGGATATTATGTGTTCATGACTTAAGTGAGTGTGACGTCACCCACAGGTTTTGGCTTCATATGAAGCTCATTGAGGCTAGCAGGTAAAGGGGCCTATTTGGAGCCAAATTCTATATTTGAAATTACGACCATGTGTACCATGACAACCAAAGAGATCATCGGGATAAAGGGGTCTTGAGATACTCGCCCATTCCCGCCCACAGGTTTAGGAGGACAACACTGTTACTGAAACTTGTTGCCAACACTAGTGTTGTACTTAAAAGTGTTGTATTTAAAAGCAATACAACATTTTCCTAGCCTCATTTAACATATAACTTCCTACAGATAACTGTTTTAACAATGTACATATAATGAATGTAAAACATTTGGTAAACTCCACCTGAAAATACATGAACCACTAGAATGAGTTCGTGCCGTTTCTCTCATGCATAAGTTTAATACAATGAGGAAAGAGCGTGAAATCCCCACAGTGGTGGGTGAAGGCATCACCAATCACCAAAACAAAGGAACCCAGGCTCAGCAGTCGATCACAGATAAGATGAATGTTACTGAAAAATAAACTAGAATTTTAGTAAACTTTTAAATATATTCAACAGTTTTAAAGGTTATATAAATTAATATTTATCATAAACCTTTTTACTGTTTTTAAATTCTAAACATGAAATCTCATGAACTACATCACTGTGACTAGGCAAAGAACATAGTACCATTGTAACGTATCACACTAGCAGGAGCAACTCTGGGAAAGAAGACGTCTGAGAGGTCTGTTATTAATGATCATATCTTGATATACCAACACAATAGTGAAATAAAAACCCCAGGATCTTGTAGAGTGGGTTAATATGAACATAAAAAAAAAAAAAAAAAAAAAAAGGATAAGCCTGACAGCAGCAGTTGCAGTAAGAGCGGAGACTTGCTTTCTATTTGGAATGTGGTGGTTAGCCATGTCCATATTTAAAGTCTATGGAACAGATACTATCCCAACAAACCAAGTAATAACTGGAAAAACTTCACAACCTGTCATAT